ACAATATATTATACCTCTACTGCCCCTCTATAACAATATATTATACCTCTACTGCCCCACTATAACAATATATTATACCTCTACTGCCCCACTATAACAATATATTATACCTCTACTGCCCCACTATAACAATATATTATACCTCTACTGCCCCACTATAACAATATATTATACCTCTACTGCCCCTCTATAACAATATATTATACCTCTACTGCCCCCCTATAACAATATATTATACCTCTACTGCCCCCCTATAACAATATATTATACCTCTACCGCCCCACTATAACAATATATTGTAACCGTGTGTGGTTCCCTTATTTACCACTATAATGTCTTAAAGCATAGAACTTAGTAGGGCTAACCATACAGATATCTTAGCCATAATTTTATATAGTGTAAGAGATCCTCTATTTAACAGATATAAATAATTGAGAATACAATATAAAATAAGGATTGTCTTGGAAGCAAGATTGTCTTTTTGGATATTTAATATATAAAAATATAAAATCCATTATAGCAGAGTTTAAAAGATTAAATTACATGCTTGCAAATATCATTAATAGGTTAACATACCCTTCTGAACATGTCATCATGTCAACCTCTCTGTCATTTTAAGATGGAGCAGCGTCTGTCTCCAAGTCTCTCCTCTGTGTCTTAACATTTAAAAGTACACCTATTTATACCTTAGGTGTCTCCATTTTAGGTTACTGTAGTTCAAATATGAAAAAGTAACACTTCTTTTACTTTATTCAATTTAGGACCTCCCTTAACTTGGCAAACATACAAGGCCATAACTAAGGGGTGCATACGTCATGGAAATTTTCCTGACTTAGTTCAAGATGTCATCTTAAAGTCTGAATAGGTTATCTGTTGTTTATACTAAGTCGTAAGTGTACAGTCGTGGGAGATTCCCGGATTTGGGGAAGTTCCATTAACTTGGGGTTACCACAATATATTGTGTACTGGAAGAGTCGTAGTATAGCCTTGAAGCTTGTTTATGCATTATTGTTATTGTAATTCGTCTGGGACAAAATGGCGCAAACATATTATGCACTGAGGTTATTGCTTAAAGAAACATCTATGAAAAACAATGTGTTCCATTTCTAACACCTTGTCAGTTTGCAATATCTCTTAAAGACAAAGTACACAGTTTAAGAAATACAACATTTCATTCTAAAACTTGTAATATTTGCATTTGCCCGTAACACCCTCTCCATTAAACTGTGGGCATTGTAGAGCATTTCTTCCTTAAATTAGTAAACTAAAGTTCTCCAACTGTCTTTAGGTTTTTGTGCTCCCAGCATCTTTGATCATTGTTGTAACAGTAAAATATCCGTAGTGTGATCTTTGCCTGTAAAAGTGGTTGATTAAAATGAGCAAAGCTTTTGTCTGGGAAAGAATTGAAAAGAACACCAAGTTCCAGAGTAAGATATTCTTGGATAGATCCGGATACGAATTGTAATCCAAAGTTAAAAGTAGTAATTGTATTTGTAATCCAAAGTCTGTAAAGGCCTGTAGAAGTTTACATTCCTTAGATACATTGCTGGAGGTTGTGTTTGTAGATTACCCAGGTATTTGTTGTAGAGTATAGGTTGTAGAGTCCAACTTTCCAAATATTTGGCTAGAATTGGTTGCAGATATTGAATCAGCATCATCTGTTATCACCGTGGTGATGGCGTTGGTATTTGTCTTTGCCTTTTGTCTCTGCTTTTTATTTTGTTTGTTTTTTCCATGAAACATTTTTACACCGTTTATGATGTGTATAGATTGGATACTCTCTGATATTCTTTTACGGAATAAATTAATTGACAGCATTTCCAAGACATTGTCTTAAGTGACATGGATCCCGTTATAGTAAATGTTATGTTGATACAGCAATCGAAGTGGATTCTCAGGAACACCTCTTTTTGCTGTATTGGAATCTTTGTAACATCTCAGTGATAGACAACTCACTGACATCAGGTGCTGTTGTGCAAAAAATGTTAACAGGTAAAATCTGTGGAAAAATCTTTACATTTGTTATACTTTGTATAATAATGATAGATGAAATAGTAACATAGTTAATCTTTCTAGTGTTTTGTATTAGAGATAAACACCCTTGTATATGATTTAGATATATAAGGATAATTTGAAGCAGCAAAGTATTTACTGCCCTTGTTCACAATGGTATGTAAAATTACATTCTCTTTAAATGTTAAAATTCAAAAACTTTATTCCTTTATTCAAAAACTCTCAATATATTTAGAATAGTTGCTAATTGGAATTTCTTTGTCCTGTTAGGGAGAAGACAACTTATTCCCTAAGATATAATTAGTAAATATAATAACTACAGTTATTAGTGGCTTAAAATACCAGAAACACCCCAAAATTGTCTTCAAAACATTTTTTTTTTTTTTTTTTTTTAAACCAAGATCTGACAGCCATTGTGGAAAGCTACATTCGTGAGATTGGATGCTTAACAATGTGAATCTTAATTGTTTAAGTGTATTTTTCAGTGGCTGTTGGATGTAGCTTAAGATGATTAGAATTTGTATTATTATTTCTAAAAGTGAGTTAAGAAAGCACTCAGATACAATATTGAATGTATTTATATTTTAACTCTACCTTTGTATAGGTGGTTTATGTACCTTTAACCATTACAAACCAAATTACATTTTCTTTGTATTTGAAAAACTGATAAAATATTTGATTACGTGTATTTTAATATATATATATACATAGAGTGGTATGGATGTTGAATTTATATCTTTGACATCTTTTCACAAGTTTGCAATAGGTGACCTAACTTATCTTTCTTTCCATTGACTGGCCTTAGCTCTGGCAGACTGAATATTTTTATCATTATAAATAAACTTTATGATAGTTGAAGTAAAGTTTCTGCCTGTCCTAACTATTTTTAACTGTTGAAGTATTTCACTTATATTAATTATACCACTCTGCAAACTTAAACGAATATCGAGTAGTTTCTGTTTTAATAAAAACATTTTATATTTTCTTCTAAAGTTTAAACCTTATTCATTATTGCAGTTGTTATTGCAATCATATGATCTTTAACTATCATGATTCAATTATTTATCTGGGTAATAAGCTAGTATGCTCTTATACGTAAGTTTAATATATTTGTTTTGTAGGCCAGACTGCAGCTGCATATGGCATTTTAGCAATAATCTTCAATTGCGTTTCAGATATTCACAAAGTCTATCCACCTTTGTAATTAACACATTATGTGTTTCTTATACCATTAATTATAGTATCTCTATTATATTACACATTATCACTGACACATTTCTGATACAGGGAAAAAAATGGCATGATTGCTTTAGTAATTATAATTTTCGGTCCATGCACCACATTCCTGGAAGTCCAGAATATAGCAAGAATCCATTGTCGTTTGATTCTATGGAGCCATTTAACGTTTTGATTGGTATAGTTATACCAAAAGAGCAAGGAGTACGACGGTAGATCACATCTGCAACAGAACCATTACATATTCTTTGTTGTATCAATGTCTCTGTGTTTATGTTTACAGGAGGTCCTTGCTTTGCAGGTATGTACATAATATGTAGAGTTTTAGAAAAGCTGCAAATCGTGCTTTAATACAAGTGTCCCGTGATGTCAGGTTTCTGAAAGATTTTGCTGGTCTTTTTATATTCCATTCTCTTGGCAGGGCATCTGCTCTTAGTAAGCCGGTATTGTTATGATTTATTAATTGCATCAAGGTTTCTTTTGTTAATTGATGTGTTTCTACCAAATTCAAATTCATATGCCACCAAATGTCATTGTAAAGTTCATTGTTACAGAATATGGTTCAAGGATGGTTTTTCACTCCAGTAGGAAATCTATATTCCTCTTCTTCTGCTCCTTCCTATAAACCACTTTTTCTGAGTTGTAGGCAACAATCTGTGTCTTGTACTGTGAGGTGCTTTGATAGTCAATCAGGTTTTCTCAGTACCATGTTCCATCTTAAGAAATAGCTGGTTGTTGGCAGTTATCAGCCTTTATTTCTTTTTCCGGTCATCTTCTGTCTGGAAACATAATAGCAATGTCCAGAATTAGCATAGCACTTCTTTTCAGCATAAGAAGGCTGTTTGCGGTAGTCATTCAATGATAAACTATATGGCAAAGTCTTTTCTTGCATCACCTTCATAGGTGCATCCAAAGCATCTGTCCCATCTTTTTCTGATTTCAGCATGCTTTGCCATCATCGTTGATTCCATTATTAGGATTTGTAATAGTCCAATCACATCTTTCTCATGTATAATCGGTTTTTGGAATGATCTCAATAGGTTCCTTGTGAAATATCAGTGTAGGCAATCATTTCACTGTGAGCTGTGTCTCTCCTTTTGGGATGGTTCTTGGAGGTAGTCCTCACGATCACAGAACTTGTATAGTGTGCAGTCCAATTCAGTTCAGGTGCTTCCTGCTTGTTAACATAATCCCAATGCAGTTTTAAAACGACAGCTAGGGTTGATGTTATGATAATGCTGCAGATTGTAAGAAGGAGACTCCAATTTTCTAGCATCCTTTTGCTTCCATCTTTGAATTTCTTTCTTACTGTATAAGATAATTCAGGTTCAGTCTGTTTTCTCCAGAGTCTTTCTTATAATGATGTTGATGATTCATTTTTCGTACATTCCATGTTAACTGTGAATGTATCACGTCTGTCTATTCATCCTTCTCCTTCACATTTGCAGGTTCAGATGTCAGATCATGATTCAGTCTGTCTATGATTCTGGTGGCTTTTCTGTCGTCCTCTGTTTGTTTTATCTTGCCATCTTTAACAGCATCCATTGTATCAGTCAGTGGTTCTGTGAATGTCCTGTTAATATTTAGCAGGTTGTAAAATATCAAAACTTACTGTTCTCTGTTGGGTCTGATTGTTCTCTGTAGTAAAAGTTCTTGGTATCTCTGATTGTTCTCTGTAGTAAAAGTTCTTGGTATCACCCTCTCCAGGACAAACTGGCCAACAGAAGGAAATAGGTGGTGGTGCAAGGCGAAGTGGACTGGAAAAAAAAAAATTCCCTAAATTTCTCTAATAGAACCAATGGTTCTAAGCTCTCCCTGGTGCAGAAATATATTTGTCAGTGAAAAACATGTAACATTTCATATGGTGTCTCACCATTTGTATCATCAGGTATGTTGTGAATTCTTATCTGTACCATAGGAATAAATAGATACCACTGTGTGGGGCAAGCAACTAGTAACTTGGTTAATAATCATTTAACCTCAGCATTCTCCCAGACCACAACCCCACATCTTTGGGGGTGGTTGGGGCACTGAAATCCCAAAGTAACCCAAATGTGGTTGCCCAGTTTTAGGTTTCATTTGCAGTAACTGCAGGACCACCATCCAAATGGATGGTCCTGGGATTATCAAATGCATACTAAGGAAGTGAGACTAGAAAACGTGGCATCAGAGGTTGCACTTCGCACAGGATATATCCAAGTAAACCTGGTACATGCATCAACACATACAAAAACGTATTTATAACCATGAGACGTTGGCAAACTTCCAATATATAGTAATTCAAAAAGTATGTTAGATATTAATATTTCAATAAACAGTACATCAGTAATGTGGCAATAAGCAAATGTTTATGATTACTAAATACATGAATTACAGTATTTCCC